AACTTGGCGAGGACTTCACACGAAAGTACATAATGGTGCCTGAGCTTCTGTTATAGTGTTGTTAGGAAGGGGACAGATAAGCGCACGGTTACAGCGTAGTTAGTTGAAACGGTTACTACAGCTCGGGCTTATATATAAATCCCTACCAATTCGTCCTGCATTCAGTACTATTAACTTGAACATTCCTGGGACACTAAGGATCTACTAACAGCCAGCATACTGGGCAGACAATGTAGATGTTTTTACCAATACGCAGCGTCGTGCGAAGACGATTCTTAAATCCAATAAGGGACATCTCAGCTTCTCTTGCGCTTACGTTTTTTTTTCCTATTCGTACGCGTTTACACTTTTCTGCTCGTAGGTAGTCCATAACCAGTAACCCTAGTCATTTCAACAGAAAGGGCATAACGCCTTCATTTGTCGTTCTGTTATGTACCGATTCACACTCAGGACAGGCCTCTTTATTGGTCAGGTATCTCAGTCAACACGAAAAGATACCGCACAGAACATCAGTCACCTTGAATCCGTCGAGCACCAACACGTGAGTGCCTTTCATCTCATGCGCATGCACTTAATTTCAAGGATCAGTCTATACCGGTATATTACCTTGTACTGTGGGTTCCGCAGATCCAATGTGAATAAAGGCGTTATCTACGTGAAAGTGTCCCCACGCGAGCAGGCGGCCGTGAAGTCACGGTAGTCGTGCCAGTTATTCGAGCCACGTCATCTTTGTTTTTCGTGCCGTCTTTTTTCTACGGCACTCGGAAGTACACGTGGCTGATATTACGTCAGTCGGAGCGGAGGCTTTCCGTAGGTTTCCGACCAGGGTCGTAGAGTTAGACCTCCATCCATAAGAAATGCTGTCATTACCATGACTGAATTCGCGAGGACAGTCGCTCGCTTTGCGCATCAGGCGCACTTTTCTTGTCTCCGGTGGCTGTGACTGGACTATTTGGATCGGCTGACGAAAGCTCGTTACGACGCCTTATCGTCTATGCGGATTTTTGAAGGGTATCGTTTGCATGGTTTCCCTTCTCCCTCTGGTGGAGGCGCTTCAACTTCATTTTATTTCAGTGACAGTGCAAGAGTGACGCCATGCCATCTGCAGATATGTCATTTTTTCTTCCGTATCTTCTCGCATCTCAAGTGGTAGCCATTTTCAAACGAACATTTACATAATTCGCTATTTTGGTCTATCGTCCACAACCTGTTGGCGAGCTGGTATCTCATCTTAGTACGATGGTGCGCAACCCTATAAATATATATATATATATATATATATATATATATATATATAATGAGATCTAACAGACAGCAATGCAAAGGAATGTACAGAAAAAGTTATTAGAACCAATGGAATGTAAATAGGAAGAAAGCAAAGTGGATGAAAAAATAACCAGCCGTGAGCAGGAATCGAACCTACGACCTTCGAATAACGCGTTCGATGCTCTAACCACTGAGCTACCACAGCGGCCTTCCCTCCATCTACCTTTTTGGGTTTACATGTGAATTTAGAAGAAGGAGTGACAATCAGCGCCATCTATAAGCCAAGCGACGAGTATAAGACACTCTTATGCGCATGTTTGGCGTCACGTAGCACGTGAACCTATTATGAGCGGGCAGCTGATTAATTGTCCCTATTATACAACCTAAACACACCAAGTCTGCCATTACGAGACCCTCGTTCAATGAAGTAAGGGAAAGAAGTGTATACTTAAGGGCTCATTTTTCCGTGTTTTAACACAATATTAATGAGATCAAACAGACAGTAATGCCAAGGAATGTACAGGGGCAGTTATTAGAAATAATGGAATGTAAATAAGAAGAAAGAAAAGTGGATGAAAAAATAACCAGCCGTGAGCAGGAATCGAACCTACGACCTTCGAATAACGCGTTCGATGCTCTCACCACTGAGCTACCACAGCGGCCTTCCCTCCATCCACTTTTTTGGGTTTATATGTGAATTTAGAAGTAGGACTGACAGTCAGCGCCATCTATAAGCCAAGCGACGAGTGTGAAGACACTCTTTTATGCGCATGTTTGGAGTCACGTAGCACGTGAACTTATTATGAGCGGGCAGCTGATTAATAGTCCCTCGTTTACAACCTAATGACACCAAGTCTGCCAGTACGAGACCATCGTTCAATGAAATAAGGGAAAGAAGTGTATACCTAAGGGCTCGTTTTTCCGTGGTTTAACACAATATTAATGAGATCTAACAGACAGAAATGCCAAGGGATGTACAGGGGAAGTTATTAGAGCCAATGGAATGTAAATAGGAAGAAAGAAAAGTGGATGAAAAAATTGTCGTAAGTTCGATTCCTGCTCACGGCTGGTTATTTTTTCATCCACTTTTCTATCTTCTTATTTATATTCCATTGGTTCTAATAACTTCCCCTGTACATTCCTTTGCATTACTGTCTCTTAGATCTTAGATCTCATTATTATTGTGTTAAAACACGGAAAAAAGAGCCCTCAGGTATACACTTGTTTCCCTTATTATATATATATATATATATATATATATATATATATATATATATTATATATATATATATATATATATATATATATATATATATATATATATATATATATATATATAATGCACGTGCCATTCTTCACCCCTTTCAGATCTCCGAAAAATGCCAGCAATAGTAAGATCCCTCAAATGTGGATGATCAGATGAAACATCAACTGCTAACTTCTCCTTGGGTTTTTCCGCCACGCTACATGCTTAAATCAATGAACGATTTGCAGAAAAAAAAACTAGTTTTCTTGGAATAATAGGTACCGATGGCTCAACTACTCAGCGCTTTTTCTGTTCGTTTTACACACAACAGAAATTCACGGCATATTGACGAGGTGAGTGATGATGAGTAAAGCGAAGCGTCCTTCCGTTCGTCCATCCATCAGTCCGTCTGTCCGTGCGTCCGTCCGGCCGTCCGTCTGCCTGTCTGTCTGTCCGTTTGTCTCTCTGTACCTCGTTATGGGTGACCAATAACTTTATAGACTTACTGAATCATAAATCATACCAGGCACTGTTTTTTTTTTTTGCAATGCAAATATCCAATAATTATATATCTTTGTGAAAGATCATTTCACGCAGCATTAAAACATATATTCCACCCTCCCAGCAGCATCTGGTTCAAGATTGATGTGTTAGCCAAAGCCTGGGGTCAGCGGTGAGAGGTCTAGGAGTTCACAAGCAAGGGCTGTCTCTTGCTGTGCTGGTCCGCGTCTGTTTTTTTAAGGACATGTACAACCCAATATTCAACACTATAGACTGTACGGCGAGTGTTGTAAAGTTGCGGCACGGTGGCTCCTGCATATATTGTTTCAGTTTCTCCTTTTACGAGAGAATAGTGTCCATCAAGGTCATCCTTGAATCGCGGATTGACCTTTGCGCGGTGATATGTGCTTGTTTACGCAGCCTTCGCCGGTACACCGAACAAGAATGCTAATACGTTAAGCTGGGAAAACACAAGGTGCCAAATGGGTCTCACCGCGAGAATTTTCTCACTCACACCTTCGAAGGATAAACGTTGCTTTTTCCTGCATTGCGGTGCCACTTGTTCGTTCTGACATGTGCTAAAGGCATGAAAGCGTAAAAAGTGCCGGTCACTGCAGCGCTGTTCATAGTTTTGAGAGGTAAGTGGGCTGAACATGTCACTTCATCTATTGCAGAAGGAAAGTGCAAACTTAACGGCTTGTTTTTCTTTGTTTAACGCAATGATAATGAGAACTAAGAGAAAATAACGCCAGGGAAACTATAGTAGATGTTATAACAGAAGTAATTTTAATGTGAATGTTAAGTAAGAAAAGTTGACGAAAAGATAACTTGCCGCTGGCAGGATTCCGAACTGCCACCTTCGAATAACGTGACCGATGCTTTACCACTGAGTTACGTCCCCCGTCCACTTGACAGGTTATCGCAGGTTACCCTGATGAAACGCCCATTTTCGATTTGCTTGTAACAGAAGCGTTTGGATGGTTTCAGTGTGAAAATGCAATAGGTGCAATAGAATCTATTACTAACTTGCTTATGAGTAGTGAAAATTACGTTAAATCTTGTTTGTTACCGATATCTTTTTATTCTTGAACAATTATTATAAATGATGGTAGTCATCCTGTTGGTTTTCAAGCATGCATATGTCTTTTGCCTTCGCTTTCCTCCCTTGAGCCGTCAGCTAGTCATAATATACACTTCTCCATCAGTAATAGATTACCAGCTAAAGTCTCACTAGGCAACGTTTCAAGGGGAAGCTACCATCGTAAAACCGATGCTTTTTCGAAAATGAAATAATAAATCTTCCATGTAGTGAGTAAAGGTGACATTTAGTGCTGGCAACGTTTGAGTATTATGATGTAATGCGGTTCCTAGAGAAGTACCCCGTTAAGAACTTGAGAAATATGAAATTTGTAAATATTACGACATTCAGAGAAACGTTTAAGTTGGAAATATTACGAAATTCGGCCTGCACACAGTAAACTAAACAGAGCTCAGACCATTGCGCTAAGGCTATTACGGAGAAGAACATTCTCGAACCCGCTGTTAATTAACAGGATTTATCTGGAGTTCTCTGTTCGTACGGCATGCAATAAATGCCACGACCCCATAGATCTCGCTCATATGCTCTGGCGTTGCTCTGAGTTACGCAGTGACAAGGAAAACACTGAGGAACGATGGCACGCAGCTTTACGCCGTTTCACATTAGAGGGACAATTATGGGCAGTCCAACGGGCCCGCGAAGCGGCTGAAAGGCTAGGTCCTTCGGTCCCAATGTAGGAGCGGCCCGTTTCGGGTTAGGACACTAGCGTGACCTGTTGGACATTATTTATTAAAGTTATTTCATCCATCCATCCATCCATCCATCCATCCATCCATCCATTCGGCCTATTATGGCAAAGGTATGTTTAAATCACTGTGACGTATACATTAAAGATAATTGCGGGACGAGCACTGACAGTTTTTCATTACTTCTTGTTCCTATATGCAGGATTCTCTAACTCTCCAAGATGCGGATTGTGTTGACGTTCTTTTTGGCGTCGTTATTCACGCTGGGACTGGAAGCGGGGAAGTCGCCAATAGTCACCACGAAGAATGGAGACGTCAAGGGACGTAAGGTGGAAGCTTTGGGCAAGAATCTAGAACTTTACCAGGGTATCCCATACGCTCGTCCTCCCGTCGGAAAACTGCGATTCCTGGCACCAATCCCCGTCGACCCCTGGACCGGCGTCTACGATGCTACGTCTCCGAAAATTGCTTGTATCCAGAAAGTGTTCAGTGAGGATTTCGCGCCTTACGTGAACCAGTCCGAAGACTGCCTGTACATCAACGTGTGGACCCCAGCTTCTTCGAAGCCGCTCAAGACAGTGCTCGTATGGATACACGGAGGTGGCTTCACATTCGGTACGTCCTATCAACACTGGTACGATGGATCCGCGCTGGCGGCTCTGCACGATGTCGTGGTAGTCACTTTCAACTACCGTCTTAATATCTTTGGTTTCTTGAACGCTGCCACCCCTGAAGTGCCCGGCAACATGGGCCTTCTAGATCAAAACCTAGCGCTTCAGTGGGTTCGCGACAACATTCGATCTTTCGGCGGCAATCCATCTCAGGGTTACGCTGTTTGGAGAAAGCGCTGGTTCTTTCAGTGTGAGCGCTCATGTACTCTCTCCACTCAGCCGAGGCCTCTTCCAAAGAGCTGTCTTCATGAGCGGAGCGTACGACACGGATGGTCTGGTAGACAGTGCCTTTGAGAGCATGTCCAAAGGCAACAAAGTCGCTGAGGTAGTTGGATGTACGTCTCCTTACAAAGACCTCGCCAACTACCCGGAATATGTTCTCGAATGCCTGCGCTCCAAGCCGGCTGAGCTTCTCCTTGATGTCACCTACAACGTGACGGCACCTAAGGTGTTCAACTTCATTCCATCACATCCGAACGCGTTCTTTCCAAAGCGCCCCACAGTGGCAATGAAAAAAGGCGAGTTCAACAACGTGGACATCATGATCGGAGTCACAGCAACTGAAGGTACTTTTACTTGCTATGTCTTTCCCGGATAGTCGAATCCAAACGGAGGAAGCTCGAAGGCATCAGCGAAGAAGAGCTCAAGAAAGTTCTGCGTGTCATGTCCCTCGCCTGGATTCCGGATAAGTTCGCGTCTACGCTAGAGCACTATGCTAGCCGCAGCCACTCCGGGTGACAAGCGACTTCTGAGGGAATTGCATATGGAGTATATAACTGACGCACAGTTCATTTGTCCCAGCAAGTTCTTCGCCCAAGACTACTCTGAAATGGGTAACTCAGTGTACTTTTCTGTTTTGGGCTACAGGTCGGCGAAGTTTCCGTTTCCAAAGTGGACTCGCGTGCCCCACACCTCTGACATCGTCTACTACTTCGGCGTTCCTCTCCTCAAGCCGAATAAGTTCACAGACGAAGATCGGGAGTTCAGCAAGACTGTCATGAAGGCATTCACGCAGTTTGCAAAGACAGGGCAAGTAGTTTTTTTATTTCATTTGTTTGTTCTATATATGAAAGCCTCAATGATGCTTTGTCAGAAGGGGGAGAAAAGAAAGTTCATGCACATGCTCCCGAAAAATCTTTAAGTGGTAAAAAACGGAAACTTTTGGGCAACGAACTCTATGCTTCTATTGTTGAAAGAAAACAACAAGTTATATTTGCACCATGCAGTCTCGACAATGAGATGTTCTCAAAACATCACTCCTTTGTAAGGAAGTTTCTGTCCTTTGTTTCTTTTAGGCGGTGAAATTCTAGAGCTGAGTTTCAGCATGTCTGTTGCTAGCATAGACAAAATTTATTTTATTCCTTGTTATGCTCCTGTTATCGTAAACGTTTGAGCTTAGTGTCACAGGAAATGCTAGAGGCAATATTTGTGTTTTAGAGTGAAAAAAAAACAGAGTAGAGGAGGGAAATGGATCTTCAAGGTGGGTTTGTTGTATAAAAATCTGGGCACAATGTAGACTCAGCAAAAACTTAACACAGTTACTGGTACAGAGTAGTCCCGCCAGAAGGAGCTGAGGTCCCGGAAGATTGTCAACACTGCGTTGCCTTCACATTCAACTATTGAGTCTTTGGGTGCATATGTGTTATTTTTTATATTGTGGTGGCAGTAATGCATTGCCACATCGAAAACAGTCATGCAAGAGAGTTTGTGGTCCTAAAATATATACTAACTTATAATTAAACACAGTCATATAAAGAACTTTTACATTACACTGTCAAATGCGACACATTGCTTAATTTTTAGTTAAAACTTACCTGTTTTCCTTTCTGTAAATAAATTTCATTTCTCTCTTTCTTTCTCGGGGCCACCAAAAAGTGCGTAGAGGAAATTGCGTGAAAAAAAAAGATAATTACATATGTATAAAACTTGTTAATTTCCCTTTGAACTATCCGAATTATAAGACTGATCTCTTCGTTCTCTATTGATTTTTTATGTTTCTTTACAAGTCGTGACGCCAAGGCAGTAAAGCTACCGACGTCAGCACAATAAGAGCGCTTTATTATTGCATTTAAGAGGTCTACAAGTTCTGGTTTGTCTGCACCCACGTTTTTACTATTCTCACAACAACACTTTAGTTCTTGCTCATCGTTTCACTTCACTGTGGTTCGTAATCAGAGTTCGCCACTTCGTGTAGCAGGTGTCATACTGTGCATGCACTGCGAAGTGGGAATAACTACACAGAGCCAAATCCTAATCAGAAAGGTTTGAAATTGGGCTTAGTTGGTTATCCAGTTTTTTTTTTTTTACATTTTCAACAAACAGCATCGAACAACGGACAAGGACAAGAACAAAGAATTTCGTATTTGTTTATTTCTTTGTCCATTGTCCGCTTATGCGTTGTTAGTTGAAGATTCTAATGAGAGTTAGTTGATGTAATTTTGAAATATAGGTGTTAACACTATGACCAGTACTCAGTCAGGGTCTTCAGAATACATACCGCAGGATGGCAAGAGAGACATGGTCGTAGCCAGAATTTTTTTTTTTTTTCGGGAACAGAGCAAGGCGAGGTGCCTAAACCAACCTTAATGCATGTTCGAGCGCGAATTTATGCGTGGTGAAATTTTTCATGCGTGTAATAAGTTTTTTCACGCGAGGCAAAACTTGCAAATTTCGAGGTTGTCTCGGACCTGGCTACGTCAATGAAGTTGCCTCAATAGTCTTAAGTTATTAATGCCATTTTCAGAAATGTTTATAGTAGCCAGCTGCACTTAGGGTGTCATAATAAAGCTTCACAGTCTGATGTCCAGTGTATGCATTCAATGTACAGTCACGATTGAATAATGATGTCTATGTACGTTCATGTTTCGCTTGCAGAAGGCCAATGATCGATGGAGTCGAGTGGCCACCCTACACCAACGACGACCCTGCGGCCTTGTGGCTTCAGTCTGGAAATTACTCACTGCACCGGAATATTGGCGACAAGAACTGCGAATTCTGGAGGGCGTACTTGACGTGAGCGCTAAACACCGACAAAGAAGGCTAGCCGAGCCGAAGTTACAGAAATAAATAACGTTTACATGTGTTCATCACCACAAACAAAATACAGTAGGTTTTGCTTGTCACTGAATTACAGTGTTAGGGGCGTAAAGGAATGCCCGACCAGATGCGCAGTGTAGCAGACTACCACCTCTTCCCACCGAAGAAAGTGCTGACGAGTATTATAGGTCACGGAAATAAGGGAGGAGCGGTGTTTGTTGTTGTTGTTGTTGTTGTTGTTGTTGTTGTTGTTGTTGTTGTTGTTGTTGTTGTTGTTGTTGTTTTTGGGAAGGGGAGGTGGATGAGTTTTTAGGACTCATACGTAGTGCAGAGATTGAACGCTTAAGTTTCCAGCCCAAATTCAAAAACTGAGTGCCATGCAGTGGGCCCGATTCGTGCTTCAGCACTTGTATGCGCACGTGCATTCCTCTCTCCTTATCTTCACTTGTCAATTGCACGTGCTGACATTCCCAAGGAACGTAAATAAACACTAAATAAGTAATATGCCGAGGTAAATTACTAGTTCACGTATAGCACATAATACAGACTTCGTTGCGTAGAAACGGTGTTGCCTGAAATTCGAATGATACTTTTTAATTTGAATCACCTGCGCCGAGCGTATGTCTGCAACGTAAAACAAAAAAGTTCCCGTAATAACTGCGTTGCCTTGTCTGTGGCGCTTTGACAACGGATGTACAATAGAGCGAGCCCTTCAATTAGGTGTTTTCTGTAAGTCGTTTTTGTTTCATCCTAAATATACTGTTTTACCTCACGCGAGCTTAGCTTATCTGCTAATGAGAACGAATTTGTGGGTTCGACATTCCAGCTGCCATCGGATACTATTTTTAAGTGGTTTCCATGTGCAGAAGCTACCTCTACTTTTAGTGCAAGCCTGAGAATATTGAGGCTTGTGCTGCTTTTTCAAGTTATTGCTCCGTTACACTATAGTGTTGCCAAGTGCAAAGCGCGCCCGAATGACTGGAAACCAACTAGGTAATATTAGAACCTTGAGATGAGTTAGTTCTGGAACTTACGCGGCCGCTAATGACACGCTGGAATCTTATATCATGCGCGCATACATAAAAGCTGACGCGCTTGGGTCACTTGTCAATTTATCGATGTCGGCCGTCCCGTGCGCAGATATCAGTGTACAGCGTGCATTGCTTGCTGTTATTTGAGTGTCTACTTCGCTGCCCCGCCGCGGTGGTCTAGTGGCTAAGGTACTCGGCTGCTGACCCGCAGGTCGCTGGATCGAATCCCGGCTGCGGCGGCTGCATTTCCGATGGAGGCGGAAATGTTGTAGGCCCGTGTGCTCAGATTTGGGTGCACGTCAAAGAACCCCTGGTGGTCGAAATTTCTGGAGCCCTCCACTACGGCGTCTCTCATAATCTTATGGTGGTTTTTCGCCATTCCGTATAAACACTCACTCTTACGCCACCATCGTCACACAAACAGCGTCAAGGCGCCACGTATCAATCAATCAATTGAATGTCCACTTCACTGCCACAAGTTCGGCCAAATAAAGAGTTCCGCCTAGATGAAGCCTACTGCTGCCTTTACCCACGTCACGACCCTGTGTCAATATCAGCATGTTCGCAACTGCGATCATGCATATGTCCCTAACAGTAGCAGGACTCCCTCGGCCATTTCACTTATCTGGTCTCAGTGTCGAGTATTCAAGCCCTGTAGTTCTTGCTATTTCAATTGACATTTCGCTACATTATGTAACTTTTTGTCATCCTACACTTTAAGAAAATTTGACTCTTCTTTGTTTGTCATGACTTGACACTTATATGACTCTCTTCGAAGAACCACTTGAACACTCTTTTCGGAGGTTACTACACACTCTTCAGAAAGTCGTGGGACCAAAAGAGTCAACGTGTGTCAAGTCAAAACTTGCCGAAGAGAGCAACACATACTGTTAATTTCTAGATTGCAAACTGAAGGTTTCATTTCCTTTGTAAAAGAGCCCGCTTTTCTTTTAGGCCCTCGGTTAAATGCTTTACGCGTCTCATATCACCGGCCCAATTATCTTTCTTCCCCGCTCGGTATTGGAAAAGAAAAGTGTCAGCCTAAGTATATTATGCAAGTACTGGAGCTCGCTGTTAGCAAAACACCGTAGAAGAAAACTGCAGGGAGGCAAAAATGTGGGACAGCGTATACTGCACTGTTTCGCGCGTTCGTCACCCAACCACAGACTTCCGGAAGTGCTTTAGACCTCTATCAGTACGCATAGGAGTGAGCCGAATTCTCCATTAGAGGTGGCCAATGTTCAGTGGTGGTGCCCCCCCCCCCCTTCTTCCGCCGTTGGTTGGGTGCGAAACAAAGCAAGCTGCGCTATGGACGAAAAAGTTAAATTAATCGATTACGTTCTTTTCATGAAGACCTGTTATTTATCTGTGGTAAAGGTGCGCAGTAAACAGTTCTTTTCTTTTAATGCAACATCAGTGGTCTTATGTCGCCATTATTGTCAAAAGCATGCGTAACCGTAACTCTGTGAAATAAAAGTGTCCTCAGAGAGACGAGTGGGTGAAGGTTTGAGACAGAATGGCGTCCATTCTTGAGACGATTTAGAATAGGCGCCATCCTATTTGCAACTTCCCTCCATTTGCAACACGCATATGTCGATGAGCAATATCGTCAGCGATTGCCATACGATGAAAATAATGACACCCAGATTGACGAGGTAGGCGCCTTGACGCTGTTTGTGTGACGATGGTGGCGTAATAGTGAGTGTTTATACGGAATGGCGAACCCAGTAATCTCATTTTCAAGCTTTCTACATCTAACTGCCATATGAGCACTTATGTGCGTATATGAAACTGCCACCGCACTTGAGCTTTCTTCCACCAGGGGCACTGATTGATTGACATGTAAGGTTTAACGTCCCAAAACCACCATATGATTATGAGAGACGCTGTAGTGGAGGGCTCCGGAAGTTTCGACTACCTGGGGTTTCTTTAACGTGCACTCAAATCTGAGCACTCAATCCACCAGGGGCACAAACTTCAGGAAACCGAAAATCGTTCGACCGTTTTCAAATGTTCGATAGTGTCGCCTTCTTCGGCCGCATCGCGAATGACAAGCGGACAGGAGTTGTAAAGTTTATTAAGCCGCATGAAAGATGGCGCTAGATGTTCACATCTTTGGCGCGTTTTTGTGAATGAACGGCAGCACAAATGGATTGGTAGAGGCACATACTTTCAAAGTGGGGCCAAAAGTCAACATAGCTGCCTCCGACGGTCTAATCAAGGCAATATTTAATGTCACTATTGACTTTAACTAGAAAGTGGACATCACGTATGTACTTTATACATAAAAGCTGTAGTGACACTATATATTGCCTGGATTCGTGCTATTTGATCTGTGTTTGAATACATCTGTCAACTTTTACAATGTCAAGGTTCTGTCCATCTCGCTTTTCTGAAATGAAAAATATGGGGTGTTTTTAACAATGGCTATGACACTCATCTTCGGAATACTGATGCCTGGGCTCGAAACCCCATCCTATATACTAACCAAATTAGTTGGTATATAGAAACCGCATTGTAGCGGTGGCAAAACGACTGAGGATCAGGTTCACATTCGAGAAGTGCCAGATTCTATTTAGAGTGCCAACCATTGGTTTCCACTTTGTTCATGTCTGCACTCTTTTCTTCTTTTTTTTGAAATTCCGGTTTATTTCAGCACGCAAAGTCAGCTATGGTCTTTAGAAATCTTGAATAAGTCGACTTTTTTATTAGTTTTGTGACATTTTTGGGGAATGCAGTTTTGTGTCCATTCGGAGTTTAAACAGCCAGCCTATAGCCTATGGAAATCCTATATTTTTCCATATTTTCAGTTTCACCACATTGCTGAACTCAATTTCAGGGCTGTATTGAGCGTAATCGGCAAGCCTATATATGTAATACGCAGAGGAAGGCCAAAACACGTATCCTTATGTGTTAGTTTCACTGCAATACACGCCCGAAAGCATTAAAAAAGGTTGAGGCCCTTGTCACCCATGATAGGACTCAACTTTTGCCTGACGTCACACATTGCTGCAATGGACCTACTTTTGTAAGAACAAACATTCAAGCCATAAGTTTCCCTGATCTCTAGGCATCGCCACAAAATATGGCGAAAAGCGTACGAAAAAGTTGAGGCCCTTATCACCCATGCTAAGGCTCAACTTTTCTATGAAGTCACAGATAGCAATGATGGACCTACTATGCATGTCAGAGCAAGCTCCTAAGACACGCGATAATGCTCGACGTTTTTTGTTGACGTCATACATTGCTGTAATGGACCTACTATGCATGTAAGAGCAAGCTTCCGAGCCGTCCGTTCCCCTGATCTGTTGGATTCGCCACAACAGGTGGTGAAAAGTGGAAGAAAAAGTTGAGGCCCTTATCACCCATGCTAAGGCTCAACTTTTCTATTAAGTCACAGATAGCAATGATGGACCTACTATGCATGTCAGAGCAAGCTCCTAAGACACGCGACAAAGCTCGACGTTTTTTGCTGACGTCATACATTACTGCAATGGACCTACTATGCATGTAAGAGCAAGCTTCCGAGCCGTCAGTTCCCCTGATCTGTTGTATTCGCCGCAACAGATGGCGAAAAGTGGACGAAAAAGTTGAGGCCCTTATTAACCATGATATGGCTCAACGTTTGTATAACGTCACAGACAGCAATGATGGACCTTCTATGAGTTTAAGGGCAAGCTTCTAAGCCACAGGTTCCCCTGATCTGTTGGCTTCACCGCAATATATTTCGAAAAGCAGTCAAAGAAGTTGAAGTCCTTATCAACCCTGATAAATGCTAAACTTTTTTCCTGACGTCACACGTTGCTGCGAGGCAGGGAAGCAAGTTCAAGCCTTAAGTCACCTGACGCGTTAGCTTCGCCGCAACATAAGACGAAAAGCAGACGAAAAAGTCGAGGCCCTTATCACCCATGATAACGCTCAACCGGCTCAGCTTCTGTGTGACGTCACAAAGTGCTGCGAAAGACGCGTGTCTGTGCGGTATGTAGCACACCCGCTTGCCACGTGAACGACTCAGGCACTCGGACCCTAAACTTTTT